GAAACAGACCGCTATTACTCAAGCCAGAAGATGGTACTGAGCAAAGAGAGCGCCAACCTAAGATTGCTTCCCCTCAAACCACGAGTTATTGAGATCCACAAAGGAAAAAACGGTTATGGCTTTTATCTACGGTTGGAACAAAACACTGGTGGTAAGAACCAAGTTACCACACAGACCATGACATTCACTATATAGTCTCTTCCTGTACAAGGTTTGCAGACCTCATTTTCTTTGGCTTCTTACTGGTCATCCAGGAGAAGTCCTCTACAGACATGTTGCAAACAGGGCTACATCAGGGAAATGGTATCAACCTGAAGTCCAAATCCAACAATTAGCAGCCTTTGCCATGCATTTTAGTGTCTTTAAACTTACCAAGCATATGCCTTCACATCAATCTTTTTTCCCTTCTGATCTTAGATCACGTAATCAAGGATGTCGATTCTGGGAGCCCAGCAGCCAAGGCAGGTCTCAAAGACAACGATATCTTAGTAGCTGTCAATGGCGAGCAAGTGGATGGTCTGGATCATGAAAGCGTAGCGGGAAAAATTAAGCAGTCTGAGGCAAAAACCACACTGTTGGTAGTGGATAAGGAGACTGACGCCATGTATAAACTGGTAAGAAAATGCAAATTACTGCTAAGAATTGATACTGTATCATTATGAAGAGACATATGCAGCAATGAAACAGCCAGTCTGCTCTGACAGACACTTCCTCAACTTGCTGAAATACGGGTGTATCTTAGACATTTACTGCAACTCCCCTTGCACTCATGCAGCAGGTCACTGAACAGCCAAATTTTTGGCATCTTCACAATTTTATAGGCACTATTGGAACAATTCTAAACACACCACAAGGAAAGTTAGAAGTTTAAGACACCAAATTCAGAGCTACGCATCTGTGTAACCACTTATGAACGAGTAATAAAATTCCCCCTCTCATGCAGATCAACACTGCAGTTCTCCACTCAGCCAGAAATTAATAGCAAAGAGTTCTTCCTTGCAGCGCAAGTCTCAGTCATTAAAAAGGTTTCAAACAGAATACATTGAGCATGAAAGCCTAATACAGATTTCACAACAGTTTTTATGTTAACAAAGTTTTATTTGTCACTTTTTTCAGGCTCAAATTTCCCCCTTCTCATACTACTACAAAGCACAAGATCCAACTCCAGCTAAAGTGGAGGAAAGAGCAGAGTTGCACACTGAGCAGAAAGTAAACCACAAGCCAAGAATCTGCAAGATGGTGAAGGGGCCTAGCGGATTTGGCTTCAGTTTAAACATGATCAAGAACAAGCCTGGACTGTTCATCAATGAGGTACTAATGTAGAATGAGGAACAAGGAAAAGCTCACATAGTCTGTCAGACAGCCTCCTCCCTTCCGTCCTGCAAATACATTCAAGAAAAGCCACAAAAGACAAGTCTCTTCTCCAGCGCTCCCAGATAAGAGCTGCAGTTGTTATAGTCAGACTGACATTGTAGGACCAAGATAAAAAAATAAGCACCAGAAAACATTTCTCATTCTGTTAGACATCTAGAGGGAAGGGTAATCCAGCTTTTGCATCATTTTTGCTTTTATTCATGAGGCTGGCATGCTAAAATTACTATTTTAAATAGATCTTTTTGATTGTATAACATCCTAAATGTAAGAGAGAGACTTTCACCCCACTCTATCCCCCTTCCCTGATTTTCACAGCTGGCAAAAGTCAAACCTTTACTGTCTCAAATTACGTCTATGCCTTTAGCTTTCTTGAGAGGAGGGGTTCCGCTAAGGAATCTGTGAAATGTAGTAAAGTTAACTTTGAAGTTACTGTCCAGGAACCTGCAAATAATAAGAAAAATTTGTTTTCTACCTGTCTTCATGATTCTACCATGCCACATTTCTGTAACAAAAGTCTATCAAAATCAAGATGCCTCTTAAATCTCAAACTGATGGATACCATGTTCATTATGTCTAGGCCTATTGTCTCTCCCAATTAATTTCTGCCCCACAAATCTTCGCTTCCCCATGCTTATTTTGCCAGCTTGTAAGGAATTCAGTAATGCCGTAGTCTAGCTAACCATCAGTTGTTAATCCATCTTTCCAGGTTTTATGCTAATACCACGGTTGGAACTTGCCTTTGCAGGTACAAAGCCACGGGCCAGCTGACACAGCAGGTGTAGAAAACAACGACTTTTTGGTGGAAGTGAATGGGGTGAATGTGATGAATGAATCCTATGACAAAGTGGTGGCAAGAATCCAAGATAGTGGTGACAGACTAACACTACTGGTGTGCAGCAAAGATGCTTACAAATATTCCCAGGGCCAGAACATGCCCATCACAGCCTCTATGGAAGATCCAGTCCATGATACTTCTGAACCTCCTGCTCATACAGAAAACCATCCATCAAAGCCAGAGAGAAACTCACCTGAACCAAGGGAAAGGGTGAGTAATACTGCGTTATGTAGACGTTGAGGGACCATCGAGGGGACAGGAAAAAAAACTTTTTTCAGCTAGTATGTATTCCTGAGCTAGGATTTTTAACTTGAGCCTGGATTTTTACAAGTCGGTCTACATTATTAAAAGGGAAGCTGTGGTCTGATTATCATAAACAACTCTTCCTTTCCCCACACATAATACAGTTGAGTATCTTTAATGCAAGATTAAAACACAGAAAGGATGCACATACAAGAGATTTTATGGAACGAGATAATCCAAATACTGTAATCCTTAATGAAGACGGGGAACAGGTAATACAATCCTGAAAGTGCAGGGAAAAAAGTGCTTAAATACACCAAAAAGCATAAACCAGTTTTGGGGAAATCAGGTGAAATATTTCAAAACAGGTAATTTTGTAGAAGGAAGAACAACCAATAGGTTATGACAACATTTTTTAGGACATGTGCTAATTCAAAATTATTTTACTCACTTCATGCCATTAGAAAGAATCTGAAGCATGGCAGAAGGCAGAAAAGCAGAAAGGTATTTCTTCCCGAGACAGTCATTTTGAACCCTCTGTGTGGTCAAGCCTTAAATATGTAAATGCTGCTTTTCTGATCATGCAAAAGAGACAGACAAGGAAGAATAAGACCAATACTGTCTCCTATTCATTTTTCATTAGCCTTGTCTGTAAATGTCCAGCTGCAAGTTTTTTCAAAAGTTTCTTAGTCACCAAGCTGCACTTTGCAGATCTGAAGTTAGCACCACTTTTGTGTGCAAATTCAGCAGGTATGGGAATTAAACAATAGGAAACCTCTATTGAACAAATTTCTCTCCTAATGTACTTAACCAAAAAGTGCTTCAACAACAAAAAAAAAAAAAAAAAAAAATCACATTTGTTGGCTCATTCTGCCATCCAAACAAGTACATGATTAGTGCAGATGAAAATAGGAGTCCTTCATAACGCTGCAGACTATCAAGCATGTTTACAAACTAAAAATAATCAGAACGTATTTGTTACTCCTCTGCAGGCAAGCTCATCCTCCTCTTCACAATCAGCTGCCTCTACAAGAGCAGACAGTGACAACAATGATGACACGAAGTTGTAAGGAGACAAACTATGTGAAGAACAAAAAAGAAACCTTCCAAATCCTCTTTCTTCAATCATTCTTTGCTGCTACACCTCCCAGAACTTGACTATTCCTAGGAGTGCCCTACCTGTAAAGGACTGCAATCTCTTGCTGAAATGCAGCTGCCTGAAATAAACACTTAGTGTAACTTGCATTCATTTAACACACTGCAATTGCACTTCATTGGTTTTCTGCCTTGTAAAGCAGGCAGTTAGTCACTTACTTCTGTAAAGACTTAAATAACTAGAAGTATATAATTAAGTTATACTGCAGCAGAAGGCGGAAACATTTTATAGATTCCTAAGCACCTTAGCCTTTTAAGGATAAGCTCTTAATAAAGAGCAACTGATTTCTCCCCTTTTCCCAGGAGAGGCAGTTCTCCCCCTAACTAAAGTCCATCAACTCAATCTCTGTGGCGACTCTTCTATCCTACACTTACAGCAGTACAACTGCTGTGAAATGGCATAGGCCAATATACTCTGTGCATTACGCTCCTCTCTCCTACTAACATTGCAGAAATTTTTTTCAAACATTAAGCTAACTTCATAATTCATAATTCAAGACGTTTAAGCACTACTGTCTCTCTGCATACAGTTGTGGATCATGGTAGTTAGAATAGCATACAAAATTCAGTCATGCAGGTTTGTCTAACTCCAAGTCCAGACCACATTGTCTTGAATGTGACATAAACGGCTCTGATACTGCTGCTCTATACTTTGCCTCCTTGCTGTATGCTGAAGACAACACAGCAATAAATTGTTCAGAGTGGCTATTTCCTCCCCCTCCCAGGTCTTACTCTTACCATCTATGATTTATGTTTCAGCACAATTTTAAAACAAACAAAGCCTAGGAGACTGGCTATGGGAAGCTACAAGTTTAAGTCACATGAAAAAGATTTACTTTTATGCCTTGAACTACATCAAGAAGGGGAAATGGGCTACTGTAGAAGAATACACAGGTTGTGAGGAACACCAAATTTACAGGATATAAGGTAAACAAATTTGTAGCATAAGGTAAACAAGGCATAGCTGTGGTCTTTGAGTTCACACTGAACTCTAGCAAAGAGGAATCCAAAATCTCAGTTCCATTTATACAGGGAGAGAAAAACTTGAGACGCAGCAATAGAAAGCTAATCTCCTAAGAACAGTAGCTGCTAGTGATACAAAGTAGCACCTACATTCCATACAGAAATGGAGGGAAATTCGCTCTACTTCTGCCAGGCAGCAAATCCTAGCCACTTTCTAGCTCACTTCCAGCCAAATCTTTGGGGCTGACAAAAGACAACTGTGATGCTCGCATGAGATATTACAAAAGCTTATTTTAATTCCACAGACTCAAACGTTCAACTCCAGAATTGCCATCCTCTGAATCCCAATTATGAGTTGATTTTCAAAAGAAAAATCACATTTCCTCGGTGCCTTCTATAAAGATTTTCTTCTAACAGTAAGAGGTCTTACCTCATACAGCCTACTATGCAAGTTCCAATGCCCCTAGATAGTGGTGTACCAAGGATTGCCCTTATTCCTTGGCAATGAACCATCTCACATTAAATATGCGCATCTCCTTTCCTTCAAGCTGTGGCACCTTAACAAAACGAGCCACAGAGCTTGATGATGACATGTGTGGAAGTTCAAAGAGCCAGCTACACTGCTGGAACACAGAGAATAGTCCTGGTTCTCTTCAAGTCTTGCAGTCCACAGGAGTTACAGCAGTGCAGTTGAAAGGACAGAGGGCAGAGTGTGACTGCAGTTCATACTTAAAGGGCCATATGCTTTTCTGGGGCTTGTTTGTGTGCTAAATAGAGAAAGAGGATACTGGACAGTGCACTAACTAGGAATATCACATCAAACCAACGATGATAAAAGTTGAACTGGAGCTCTCCCAGGACTTCTGTAATAATAGTGCGATACTCTAGAGGCATACTCATCCGAATCAGAAGCACTGATGACACAAAGTACATGCCCTGTAAATTAAAAAAAGACAAAGTAAATAATGTTTCACAGTTGGCTATGTGGCTAACACGGGTCAACATACAAAGATTTTATTATGTGTACATGTATACACACAAAAATACATATGCATGCATAAATGTATACAGGCGTGCCCACAGTTCTAGATACTCACCATTATCTGTGCTAAAAGCAGAACAATAACATTGGAGGACTTGCTGCTGGAAATGGCATAGAAGAACTAGGAAGTAAAAAAAAAAAAAAAAAAAGCACTGGAATCATTTTAAAAAAAAACAATAAAAAGCATACTTTCTGGACGGTTCCCTGTACCCTACTTTTAGAAACCTTCAGTCTTAAGTCTTAAACATGAATACCCCAAGCCAGTGGTAAAAGTCTTATGATATATATTGAAATTTAAGCTTAGGTACCAAAAGTCAGGTCAAGACAGAGTCACATGTCTCTTGAGTTAATGCCTTTCCAGTCCTACCAGCAGCTCATATTAAGCAATCTAAATTCTTTTAATCACCATCTCATCAAACTTACTAATAAGCCTTGGCTGCAGCATCATTTTGAACCCTTGCTTACGTTTACCATCTCATTTAACAACTACACCTCTTCCCAAGAGTAACGACAATAGAAACTGAGTGTGGAAATATACTGCAGAAGGTATTTTTCCTACCTTCCTCCCTCTGCAAGTATTTATATTCAGATATTTAGAACACAAATGTGTATTGAAAGTTTACACAGTATTTGTCCCATCTAAAGCTAAAGATCTGGTAACAGCTTTCCTGGTCCAAAACCACATAAGAGTCCTGGCTCTTACCTTTGTAAGTGTGATTAACAATCCTCTGATAGAGGTAACAATGATTATTCCAACAAGAATAAAGGAAATGTGCTGAGACCAGAATTTCACCTGTATCAACAAGAAGAATACAGTTAAATCTCTAAAGCTAACCCCATTTACACCACATTACATATCTGCCGATTCTTCAGGGTCTTTGTATTTCCTAATTGTATGGATAGCCATTGTAGAGAGGTTTATATAACAGACATTTTCACAAATAATTAGCAATTGTTTAGTCCAAACACATGAGAAAAACAGGTATTTTTACACCAATCACAAAGAACCCCATATTCACAAGGATACATTTAAAAAGTGTAAATGACAGAACATATGTGTGCACAAGCAAACATAATTATTCTGTAGCTAAATGTATTCATCTAAGCAAGTTGAGTAACCTGTTTCCATTTGCCCAAAACAAACAAGCAAATCACTGCACCTCTGGTAAAACCATATTACCATTCCAGCATAAAATCAGTGTGAAAGCAAAGTTCATGGTGCATTTTCTCTTCCTCCTCAATAAGCCAAAAGGCAGAGACACATTCTAAGGGCTCTATCACTCTCTCCCTATCAGCAGTGTGATTTTATTTAGATAAGATAGGAATTGCTGAAAAGGCTGTAAGAATTAATAAAGTCTCACATCAAACTGGATTCCCAGATAATTTACAGTGATCTCAATTCCTCTTGTGACTGGATCAGTCTTCCCCACACGGTCAAATACAATATTGATGGTTGCCTGCAAGAGAGAGATGGATTTACATTCAAACGAGAAAATAAAAGCGTACTCACTGTTACACGTGAGACACATGCATGACTCTTACTTTGTTATCACCAAGGAAAGGAGCAAGGGGCAGTCAGATTGATAAGGTGCAAAATGCATGCATATACGAATTGCTTGTCTAATGCTCTAGACAAAAAGACAGGCCCAGGGCTTTATTTCAGCCAAGAGCCAGTTTCTTTCAGAATTTCCAGAAGCAGGATTTTAAGGAAACTGGAACACTAGTTGATAAACTGCATGTATAGCTTAATCTATGCAGGATGTGATGTTTGCATATGTCCATGTAAAACACATTAAAACATTTACATACCATGAAGATTTTCCAGACACAATAGATGGAGAAAAAATAACCCAAAAAATTAAAGTATTTTCCCTGGAAAGTTTTGGAGTACTCTATTCTCTCCTGGAAATACAAAAGGAGGGAGGGGGAACAGAACACACACACACACACAAAAAAAAAAAAAAGTATCATTTCCACAATCACCCACAATACAAAATTTTAACAGAGCACCAATATTAGCAAACAGCTTTATCCTTCTACACCTCTTAATTCAAATGTTTCTGGACTCAAAAGTTTTAATTCAAAAGCTTCTGAATGGCTTTAGGTACATGGGGCATACCCCAGTATGTATCTGAACTGGAAGAAAACAGCCATTTAGACCCCAAATAAAGAAACAGATCCTCACTCCATGACATCAAAACATTTACCTGCCGAACTGCTTTCAACTTCTTCTAATATACATTCTCTTTCAAACTACTCTGGCCTCCCAACACCCAACTGGGCAGTTACTTTGCTATGTACCTTTGTGGCATGCAAGTCAGCAGTTTCCAGAAAAAGCTGCCGACTCAGCTCTTCTAGGGCATCCACTTCTTGCTGGATAAGGGACAGATCTGGTAACCAGCATAGTCAAGGCTAGAACATGTCACAAATTCTTAATTAAAACCAGAACATTGACCACCTTCCGCCCAAGGGCCACATTTAATGGTTTGACCACTTTTTTGGTCCAGATCAGTTTTTTTGATTCAGTCTTAATGCTCCTTGTTAAGAGCGCACTCAAAGAAACCTCAAGGATATGTGTATTGCACACTACTCCATTTTAAGAAGGCAGGCAGGACACAGTCATGCAACAAGCTCTTCATTCCTCTGCCTGGGAAACACATCGCAGAATAGCACCAGAGCTCTCGAAGACTGCTGCTCCACTTTGATCAGTGTCCCTTGACACTTAAGTGCATCATCATACGTCACTCTTGCATCATCTCCATAAACAAAACTGCTGAGTAACTGCCCAAAGAAATTAGCTGTTATTATGAAGAGTCTAGTCAAATAGCCAAATTCTGATTTTAACAGCTAGTGTGAAAGGAGAGGAAGAACAGTCCTCAGCCTTAAATACACAAACTGCACACTTTAGGTGATCTGGCAGAAACTGTTGGTACACAACTGTAAGTTACAGAAATACAGACCCTTGTAATTTGCAAGATTCCTTCCATCCCTTTTGCATGGGCAGAACAACTTCTGTTCACCTGCTCCTATCCACCTTTTTGTCACACTGGCATAGCACCAGTGGCCAGCCTATATCATGAGAACAATTTATTTGATCAAGTTGCTTCCCACCCTTCTTTTTCTCATGGCTTTCGAACATGGCCAGAAAGCCAACTATAGCTTAGGTAAATTGTTCCAGCACCTCAGCCAGCCCCGTTGTTTTGCTCAAGTACATCAGAGGCTCTCCATCCTGGAAGAGCACATTTCAAGTTACAAGAAAAAATACGTGTGCAGGTCAGTCATATGAGCAGAGGATACATCAGAACAGAAAGTTGCCTCCCACGTCTGTGATGTGATGGGGTGACACCGAAAGTGTGCACATCTGTCCCACGACCTGCTGTACACCTCAACCATGGTGATGCAACAGCACATTTATAGGGCAGGGCAGCAGCATACGACTCCCAGCTGTGTCACAGTAAAACTACGTGCCCAAGCCCTGGGCAAAAGGTCAGACAGTACAGTGCTAGAGACCAAACTTAGAGACATTAAGCCTTTTGCTCAGACTGCCAAGACGTGTTGAAACAAATGCTTTGTAACTGGCCCAACTAACACTCTTCCTTTCAAAACAGAAGAAAGCTGGAGCCACCTCGCGAGGCAGGTGCCAGCATGCAGATGAAGGATACTTTCACTGCCTGCAACAGATGTTGTAACACTTTTTATCATTCCCCAGAAACCAGTGGGTTTGTTATGCACTTCTCCTCTCTGGAACATTGTCCTGTGAGCCACTGCTATCCTGAAAGAACAAAAAATACAAGTCCTTAGGAATAAAGTAAACCCAAAAACCAGTTCCTTAGAAGACACTGTTAAACTAAATTCACTGCAAACAGCTGCTCCCCCCCCCCTGCTTCGTAACATTATCTTGATTAGTTCTGGAGTAGAGCCCAGATCTAATTAAGCGAGATTCAGTGAGACGCTTCCCAAGACTTCCATTCAGGATCCTGCTTCAATCTTTAAAGGAATTTAAACCTGATTAAAAATAAAAATTAAAATTAATTTCTCAGTCACATGATTAGTTGCTTTCCTTTCCTCAGACACATGACTGTGCTATCTCAAGTTCAGAAATCGTAAGACTTCTCATGCTCCCCTCTCCCCTTAAACTCCTCTTCTCTATCACTGCCCATCTGCCTCCTCCACAGAACTGTGAGCGCTGGATGGTATGCAGCAGCACTCTCTGATATGTTGTCACTCACTACTGGGCTGCATGACAAGCTGTTATGAAGCAGAAACGCATAAATCCATTATTGGACTGAAACACTGGATGCTTCAGGCAATCTGAACGTGACTCCTAAAGCTAATTCCAACACTACAGCAGCAGCTGCATATTGTCCCTCACACTCCCATGTGCACTGCAGCATAATCCCCACGAGCAGTGCTGGCTTCTGGCCTCATCCCCTCACATTTCTCCCCATTGAAATTTGTGAGCCAGTTATGCACTCCAAAGCTGAAAACTATTCATAGGATTGTCAAGGCGATCCATGATTCGACAGTGTTTAGGCCCTTTCTTGTAGCTGCAGCTAGTATTGCTACATTTGGTATTGAGCCCTCTTCAAGGTTGTTGATAAGCAGTGTAATTAAAAAAAAAAAAAAAAAAAAAAAAATCACTCCTCCTCATCCAGCAAAAGAAACACCTTTAGGGCACCCCACATAACACATATAAAACCACGAATGGCCACGGACTACAAATAACAGAGATCTTAGAATGATTCAATCCATCCCAGTATCTGCCAAATATAAGAATTGCATTTTTAATCCTTGCTTTCCTCCCAGTATGCGATTCACACGTTCCATCCAAAATGATCCACAGCACTGCAGCAAAAATGCAGCTATGTCAAGGTGAAGCATAAGGCTGTAAATATACAAAGGCAAATGTTTCTTTTGAGAGGTGACAGGGATCTCTGTACCCCCACAGTAGTTAGGAGTTCTGAACACCTCATAGAAAGGATCCACAGGCAAAAACCACACACTTTGCCCGTGTAGATATGTGATAGATCTACATCAGATAGGCTGATTTCACTCTAACATGAAGCAAAATGAAGCAATGGTGTCACAGAATCTAGGCATTTCAAACCTGAGGCTTAGTTATGTCATACCTGCGAGGATCAGTACAAAGAACCTGCCCACCTTAGAGGCGAGTTTCCATAAGGCTTTACTTGATTACACTCAGGAAGGAGAAAACAATAATTCCTGTGCAAAAAGCATCAGGGAAAACAACTTTCAACAATTACCTCCTACTGACAAGGAAGCCAGTATGAATAAGGGTTGGTATGAGAAGAAATGTCAAGATCAGCCAAGAAAACAAAAAAGCTGTATGTTCTATTGCCTGACAACCCTTGCATGCATTGAGTTATTAGTAGCACTGAAAAGGTGGCCAGCAAGTAACTGACAGTTTACAGAACTACAGCGTTTACCCTACACTGTAAAATACTGCTATTCCTGCTTATTCTGCCAATTGATTTGGATTGCATTTGGACTGATACAAATCTAACTTTTTAAGCTCTGCTTTATAGGAGCAAATAGTCCAATTATGCAAGCCACTGCTCCCCATCAAAGCAAAAAGAGAACAAAAATCTACAGAACTCAAGATTCTGCTATTTCTTCCACATTTCTGAGACTACACAGTTTTGGGGTTTTTTGTTTGTTTGTTTTTAAACACAAATACATGAACTTCAGTATAATTCCCAAGCAATTAACGCACTTCATATGGCTGATCATAATGGTTACAAAGTTGCTATATTCAGAAGACTTCCTGGCCCCAGCAAGGCAAGAAAGTGCTAGTCATTTACAAGTCCCAGACATCCTTACTTTTACCCCAACATCACCCTCCCTGGACCAGAGGTCCAAAAATGATGTGCAAAACAAAAGAGCACAGAGTCAGGAGCAGCACTACAGAATATATTTTAACTCCAAAGCCAGTATTTTAGTATGCTCCTAGTCAATTAAATCACTTAAACCTGAGTAATGAAGTTTTCTCACTATTTATGGTCTCACATATGACCACAAATACTTAGTTAACATTTGTTCACCACTTAACATTTTCAAAGGGGAAGAAAAAAGTTATGCTTTAACTACACTTTCATATGCTAATACTGATCAGCAAATACACATGCTCGTGACTAATTCAGCAAGGTTAGACTACCTAAAAGCTCCTTTGTCATACATTAAAAGGTTCCATTAAAACACTAATACACCAAAAGTAAAGTTTGGGGGACTGCTGTGAGAATTCAGTGTCAAATAGTCAAGCCTTTGCAGTGACTACGGCATATTCACAAGCAGTAAGCCATGTAATACATAATTTGTAACAGCACACAAAAATCTTTCCAGTGTAAATGAAATTACATTGTTTCCAAAACTAGCTTTTTCACTTGGGGTACATGGAATAAGCTAAAGCAACAAAGGCAGACTTCTAATGGCAAGCTTGCACTCTACACTACATTCCCATTAACAACATTTTGCAATTCTGCAAAACTTAACTAATGTCAACCTTGCCACTTGCAAGAATATAGCTGTGTCCACACTAGCATGCCAGCCTGCTTCAGATTTGACCAGGAAACAACAGATCTGCAGAGCAGGAGAGCACTCAGTATGTATGAGCCAACTGCCGTACAGAAAGCGCCAGAAAATGAGCCAGCTGCAGTGGCTCAAGGGTCGCTCACTCATCAGGAGAGAAAGGTGCCCATCTTACAGACCAGTCAAGCTGCCATCAGAGTAACAATTTCTCTTGGAAGCCTAATCTGTGCCACTGCAGTAGGAAAGGGTGCGACTTAGTGCACATGTCTGGGAAAAAGCCTGAAGTTGCATTATCAGGCCAGAATGAACCACCACACAGCTCACCCAGGTGAGCCACCTGTTTCACTGGAGCACGTAGCCCTGACAGGGCTAATAATTTTGGTAATTTCAAGAACCATCTTGTATCATACTGACTAAAAATCCTTGAAATAAATAATTTCATGTTACTGCTGCCTTCTCACCTTTTTTTCTTGCTAACAATCATGTCCATAGTCTGAAGAAGTCGTCGCTCCAAAGCCAGAATATCTGCATCTGTCACATTCCTGCAAAATGACAATACCCGATTAGGCCTGCTATCCCATTTCAGAGGAAATATGCACATGCCCATGAAGCAGAGAAGAGAGAAGCCTGTACAAGTAGAATATGCTTCAGCAATGGAAATGGTTCTAGCGTGCAGACATGGCAGTAGCAAGATTCAGAAAAAAAGTTATGAAAAAAACTTGAATCAATGCCACAAGAAAAGCAGAATAATAATCTCAAAAAGGTGGACAAAAATATTTCACAAGGCTGCGGTTACCTGAGAAAGTAGGACATGTAAGTGTATGGACAGTTGACGGCCCCAAATCCTGACAGCAAAGCCATGAGCGTCACCCCAATCACACCCACACGGCTGATGAGTTGTTCTATAGAGAGGATTCCTGATAGAGGAAAAACACAGCATTAGTAACCTTGCTCTCTTCACTTTGCTCCACAACAACGTAACACGCATACAGAGCTCCTTAATGAATCTGACTGCCTTCCCACTGCAATGACCAGAGGTAATGTGAAGTACTTAAAAACAGGGACGGGAAATTAGCTATGAAGAAACTTAAGACAGATCTGGAGGGAACTAACAGCCAACATTTTGTTTCTAAATTAATAAAACATTAGTTTAGATTGCATTTTGCTGAGGTGGCAAGACAGACCATCCACCAGACACTATAAAGGAGGCATCTTCCACAAAGCCACTTCTTCAATAACCAGGATTAGAGTTACTAAACCAGTTTGTCCTGCCAAACTGGCTCAAAAATGTCTGGACCATAGAGAGGAAGCCCCATTCTGCCAACTGTCAGTAGAAGTGACCCCTCCAGATCAGATGCAATTTGTGCTTGTAGGACAGTGGAGTTACAAGAGCATGGGAAGCTTATGCTGCTCCTGGCTGTTCAGTATTCATCCTGTGGACATGCACACATTGTTGAGATGACCACCAACAAGGCATTCCACCCGAGTACCAAGGGGACTCTAGAACATATATCCACATAATACAGCATAAACTTCAAGCCTGTGCTATAACCACCACCAAGCACTGAAGTTGCATTTACCCTTCTCAGCCATTAAACACAGACCTCAACCCATCTTCTCAGGATACAGTGCCATGTGCTATCAAACATCACTCACTTTTTAGGGAGCTAGTTATAGAGCAGCTGCCACACACAGCACATTTGGAGCTTACATGATTGCAAAGCTGAGATGGCCAAGCGCCAAGCCACATTTCATGCTTCAGAGAAGGGGAATAAATGATGAAAACAAGGCAAAAAGACTTCACAAAGGGAGACCGAGACACCCAGTCATGTGCAGCTGCATAGAGATTTACACCAGCTACAGAATGTGCTACAATACGCTGGCCTTTTGCCCCACACACTGTCAGACAGCAGCAGTTAAAACAGAGGTGCCTTCAAACTGACATGGCATTCCACTGGTTAAAGCAATGCTCCCCCATAATACTCATAGCAACTCTACTCTTGTGATCAGGTCAGATAAAATGAATGCCTTATCAACTCAGCTAAAGAGAAGAGTTTTATCAGAATACTAGTACCTAACAGAGTAAAGCGTAACCTTGATTCTAGTATGAGCTCCCAAACTCGGGTCTACTCAACAAACTGCAGACCACCCAGGGCTCCTGACTCGGAGCCCTGATTGATGGTGCGCTTCCCAGCTGCAGCACACTGCCATCACCACTCCCAGGCCAAGCACCCCCTGACACAAGACACCAGGGCAGGTACTTGAAAGGGCCCCGCTAGTCAGCACAATGCCCCAGCTGCAGCAGTCTGCTGTGCATGCAGGGGAGCAGCGGTGGCACACTGAGAAAGACACTACAGGTGATGTACTGCAGGGCGAGGGGCTCATTAAACACGGCCTCCTGTCATGCGTCCCTCCACAACAGGATCTTACCTGTCTGAATTGGGCCACTGCCACACAACAAAGCCCTGCAGCAGCCTTCTCAGTACATGCAGGGCAGCAGCACCATAGCAGTACAGCAGGGAAAAAAAAGCCTAGAATCCTTTGCTCTAACCTCATGTCTATACCTGGTAGGGTAAGGCACTGTACAAGTGTTAAGTGGAGGTACCATGCCGTAAAGCAGAAGTTAAAAATAGAAAACACCCCACTGCCAGTTCTGGAAATTTGCCGTTGTTATGCAGCTTCACAGAACCTTTTCAGTGATCTGAAGAGGATTACCTAAACCCCATGGCTAAGTTCCCATTGGGTTATTATATTCTGCCAACTCAAGCGCCTTCTGCAATCACACGTTTTTCTTGGCAATGAAACACTGGGCAGAGGGATCTGCACTACGTACTAGCTGTGTATTTCAGTGGCAAATGACACAATTACAAAACACATATACACACTTTCTCTTAGGGAAGTTTTAGGATCGCAAATGAAAGGGGCAACAGACAGTTGGTATCCTTCCATTTTTCTCTTACAGATTAGTACAGAGTAAAGTAGCCTCCTAGAGAACAGAAAAATTAGGCTGACCATTATCTGTGCAGACAGATATATTCACCCACCAGTTGGATTGAAACTGGCTGAATTTCACCTGTTGAGAACGATGTACAAACAATTTTCCAGTGCAGGGTATAAGGGCAACATAAGTTACACAGGAAACCCAGGTGACAAATAGTCTGGTTCTACAGTGTTACAATCCTTCAGCACACTGAGGTGCCTGAAGGATTCAGTACAGTTAGGCACATGCTATCAAGCTCTGCTGGACACAAACTAGCCCAAGTGCACACAGTATCTCCGCGCTATAAATACTCCCGGTTCCATGACTGCAATGCAGAGATACCCAAGCTAATTCTGCACGTAAATAGCTCTGGCATCCAGCAGGACTTACCAACTCACATTCTAGTACCTTACAACTGTACTGCCTCTGGGCTCAGACAGTGTACGAAGGTGTACTGATGCTAGCAAGCACTGCCAGATGTGTTGCTGGTTATGGTTTATTTAGCTCTGGTGTTTAGACACCCTGCCATGTTTTGTCAACAGGACAGCCCCTGTGCTAAAGCGATCTGACCTCAGTCACAAGAAACAATTATCTGACTGAAAAAAAAGACTGGTGAAGGATTGGTTGTCGATTCTCTTCTTAAATAAATTAGCTTTAGTCTCCACAAGAAAAGAAACAAGTGAATAAAAATTGTGATCAACTTTTTGTGGAGATGAAGTTTTCATGTCCTCAGGAAGCACACTGTGTTCTTACATATCCTAGGTTCACTTCCCTAAAGTTTTCCTGTAGTACTGAAAGAAAACTAATGCAAATAATTCAGGTGTGACCACCCATTTCTGTTGGTTTGACAACCTTCAGATTGCAGATTTCAAAGCAGAGCAGACCCTCGGTTGCAAGAACTACTTTCTACAGTCCCAACTGTAGGGCTCAGATAACAAACGATAGCTCCAAGATAAAAGTGAGATAATAGAGCCTATTTTCAGGAGGGAAGGAATGAGCAAGAATATGAAACTCACCATGTTTCGGGCTGAGGATAGGAAATGGATCCCCCAACTTCCAGAAGAAATACATGAATGTCAGCCACAGAACACATGCAAAAAGCAGTTTCTGTCTGTGCACTAATGGAAAGGAAAAAAAACAACAGTATTTTAAAAATGTTCTTCCTTTAGGGCTTTTTCTAGCTTGCAAAACTGCTACACTGGTCCAAAGGCTGGAGCACATGTGGCCAAAACAGGTGCCAACTGACAGAGCTACGTCTAGTGGTACGCACCCCGAGCTATTTGAGACACCACTATTTTTAAGAGCTAATGCAGCTACACACCACTTTGGCTTTTCCCTATGGATGTATGAGGAGGGCTGCATTGTGAACAGGGGATTACTTAGCTGCATCTTTCTTGTGTGACTCTGAACATGAAACTTGGAAACTTCACCTTTGTGCCAACACTACACATTTACTACTACTCCCAACCTACATGCCTAAGCATAATGCAAAAGAATGATGAATATCAACAGCTCAAGGGTAAATGTCCATTAGTGCATGGAAGAGGCCTCACCCAGACAGTAGTAAGCAAAACAAGCAAAAGTAATTTATCGAGCTTTTCTGCTTCAAGAGTAATTCATTGAGCTTCTCTGCCTCATTTCTTTTATTCCCTAGCAGAACAACACAGCCTTGCCAAGGCTTCCAGGGTTTGGCTGCAAGCTTAAAATTGTAAAGGAACAAATTCCAGTAATATTACTCTGAAGCGCTCAACTTTGCCGAAATCCATAAAGAAAAGCTACATTTGTTGGGGTCATGTAAAGTATCTCCTAAACTGCTCAATAAACAGTTCATGCTAAAGCATTAAATTCCAAAGAGAAGTTACCTAGCCAGAAGAAAGCCAGAGGAAGGAGGGAGCTAAGGGGATAGTGACCAACGCATATCTCTCTCTCAGAAAAGTTATTTCTCATTTGTATGTGTAGTCTCAAGTTAGCCGCCCCACTGCCATAAACCAAGTACTCACATAATCTGATATTGCTCACAACGAAGTAACCAATGTAGAAGGGTACCATGAAGACCAGGATGAGCAAAATGACACACAGGTTCAGCTTCCAGTGAAAATATCGAGAGCTAAAATAAAGCCAAAATACTGATTAGCACACCACCATAAGACAACAAATTTCTCAAAGACAACCAAATGTCAATGCAATCCTTTCAACTACATCAAACATTGGATAATACAGGCCTAGCATATAGAATATTCTGGATTTTGCTTGTGTTTGGGTTGGGGAGGGGGCAGTGTTTTGGCGTTTTGTTTTCATCTGGTTTTTAATACAGAGCTAAAGAATGTGTATTTAAAAATTAACAACTATCCAGAAAAGCACAATGATCTATTTTATCAAATACTGTTTCCTACAGTGACTGGCGCTGGTTGCAGCATGATGCATTTGATTTACTCCTCATCTAGTTGAACAGTAAATCAAAACTAAGTATAAGCAGTAATTAACTTTGTAATGAGTGGCTGAGCCAAAAAAGACCTAATACAAATTGAAAAGATTAAAAATATTTAATGTTCATAATTCAACATGTTTCACTTCAAAGTGAGTTGTCTCATGTGCAAGAAACTGCAAAGCAAGAATTTAAAAATACACATATATATCTAAATGATCAATACTCCTCTGACCAAAGGAGATTAGTCAAATGCAGATGAGATTCATCTTGGCCGAACTGACTTTTTGCTTAGCTTGAATAGAAAAATACACATCCTGTTCCCAATATTAACTCATATCCTCTTTACGCCTTGGGGAAGGAGAAATTATGAGGATCCTTGTCACATTTTTCCTAGCTAATTCACAGGCAAACATTTTCATCTATATCCATGTCCAGCCCTTTATTGAAGGCTTATAAAAGCATTTTCCTCAGTGATCTCTCTGGCTGCAAGCTCTACGGATTAATAACATACAGTCAGAACTAACATTACCTTTCATCAGTTTTGAACTTCTTGCCTTTCAACTCCTTTGACTGCTCTCTTATACTAGTATGATGAGAGAGAATAAATAGGAAACCCAGCTAGCCCCTACGTATTACTGCTCTATCTTCTCTTTCCTACGGACTTCTGAAGTAGACAGTTTTTAACATCCCCTTTATGTAGAAGTCCTCACCCTATGTCGAGGGAGGATGTGCTTTTGATTCACAAATACCATGTTATTACAGAAGTACTTTTCACTCCATAATTAGCTTCACAACTTATTCGCTGCTCTGACCGCCACAGAAAAACTAGTGCTTATAGTTTCTATGGTCCTTAACATCTGTAAAGTGTTTTTCAGCATGAGCTGAAGCTTCACAACACTCCCATAAAAGAAACTGTTTCTTTCAACTTCACAAGTGGAGAAAGGCAAAGACTAAAGCCTTGCCCGAAGGACTTAGACCACACTAATACCAACTGCATGGAAAATCAGGAGCTTATGGCTTCTAGTCTCATGTTTGTTGAGCTCTTGATGATTTTCTCACACAATTTCCCCAACACAAGACTAATCCATTCATTCAGAAGTTGGACCAAAACTACTGAACACAAGGCAGACTAGTCCTTGAGTGAGCTCCCAGACTCACCTGCTGTTCAGCACCCCCAAAATCTCAAAGATGATGAGTTCAAACATGGTACAAGAGAAAGCAAAAGTCACGGAGAAGATCACCTGGACCACATACTGTCGCACCTGCAATGGAGAAAAGGAGCCAGAGACATCAGGCGTTTCCATTCCCAGAATGGCATCCTGGTGTCCCTCAGGTAATAAAAAACAAATCACAAGGTACAGTGGCACACAGCGGGGTCTCTGGCTTCAAGGCACCTTGCCCTTCATCTAAATGGGAAGAAACCAACAGCCTGTTAGGAACAGAGGGCAAACTCATAAGATGCTCAGGATTACACTGATTGCAGCTATTGGTGCTTTTTAACAGAGACACCTACACAGAAGGGATGTCAAGCATGCAATGCCCTATGTCAACTTGACTAATGATAGACCCTTGCTAACAGAGCTCTCTGGTATTAACCTTAGATTTAAAAATAAGAACTATATCAGAAAAACTTTTATAGGTCTGAATTTGGTTCATATTTAAGCTCTGAACTAGACTATATTTTCTCATACCCCTCTCAGGATAAGAGAATGTGACCATTTTATCCTATCCAATCCACAAAAACAATTCAGCCACAACGAACATACCTCACTGAGTTTAAAGTTATCCACTCAATTTGGTTTTGTCTCAAATATTTTACAATTACATAAAGCAGGCTTACTCAAACAAACGGCAACATAGTTTCCTATTATCCCTGTACCTTCTCCATTTTTTTTTCACTTATTTCATAGAATCACAGAATGGTTTGGGTTGGAAGGGACCCCTAGAGGTCATCTAGTCCAACCCCCCTGCAGGAACAGGGACACCGCTAACTAGATCAGGCTGCTCAGAGCCCCGTCCAGCCTGGCCTTGAATGCTTCCAGGGATGGGGCCTCCACCACCTCTCTGGGCAACCTGTTCCAGTGTTTCACCACCCTCATTGTAAAGAATTTCTTCCTTATACCTAGTCTAAACCTACCCTGGTTTAGTTTAAAACCATTACCCCTTGTCTTTTCACAGCTGGCCCTACTAAAAAGATTTTCCCCATCTTTCCTATAGGCCCCCTTTAGGTACTGAAAGGCCGCAATCAGGTCTCCCCTCAGCCTTCTCTTCTCCAGGCTGAACAAGCCCAACTCCCTCAGCCTGTCCTCATAGGAGAGGTGCTCCAGCCCCCGGATCATTTTTGTGGCCCTCCTCTGGACCCGCTCCAACACTTCCATGTCCTTCTTGTGCTGAGGGCTCCAGAGCTGGACGCAGTGCTCCAGGTGAGGCCTCACCAGAGCAGAGTAGAGGGGCAGAATCACCTCCCTCCACCTGCTGGCCACACTTCTCCTGATGCAGCCCAGAGCACGGTTGGCCTTCTGGGCTGCCAGCACACATTGCCAGCTCATGTCCAGCTTTTCATCCACCAGCACCCCCAAGTCCCTCTCGGCAGGGCTGCTCTTGATCCTTTCTTCCCCCAGCCTGTACTGATACTGGGGGTTACCCCGACCCAGGTGCAGGACCTTGCACTTGGCCTTGTTGAACCTCATGAGGTTCACACAGGCCCACCTCTCCAGCCTGTCCAGGTCTCTCTGGATGACATCCCGTCCTTCTGGTGCGTCAACCGCACCACTCAGTTTGGTGTCATTTAACAGTAGCCAGCATGGAAACTTTCACTGGCCCCAGGAGAACCCATTTCCTCCGACATCTAGGAGTCTTTCCAACAGAAGCACAAGAGAAAATGAAAAAGAAAGTAACTGTAGAACAATAAAAAATAAGATAAGAGGGCTTAAAGAGAGGAAAAAGGCCAGATGCTATTTCAAAATTATTTCTATAACTGGAAGCAATTTTTAAGATGTAGAATTGTAATGAAAGGTCCCTTCTCACCTCATAATCCTTGAAGAGTTTTCGCATGAAGAACAGCCACCCAAATCCAAAGAACAGCACCTGCAGAAGAGATAAAGCTCTTAACATTTGTATCCAGCAACTTGCAAAATACCGAGCTGCTTCACTACTGACTGTAGGTGAAAGAAACGGAAAGAAAAGAGCTGACCTAAAGCATCCAAGATCCACAAAAAAAATAAAACTTGCCATAGTACCATGGAGAGAAGAAAATTTTAAATATTCAAGTGTAGCAGACACTGAAGGTTACAGCCTTATGGAAGATGCTTTGCATTTCAATGGGTCTCAGAGCACTTTACAAAATTTAATGAAGTTTCAACACACACCTGAGTGTGTGACTGGTAACAGCTGCCAAAACTTGGTGGAGGACTTCAGACTTTAAAGTAATTGATAGCAAAATGAAAGAGGTAAGATATTTCACAAGCCTCCTATCTGCCGGTCATAAGTCAAAGTAGTATAATAAGCAAGTGATATTTACATAAAGTAATTCCACATTTAACAGTGTAAATGAGGAAAAAGGTAGAGACAAACTCTTCAAAAAGTAGTTAATAAAGTAAAAGAAAGAGATGAGGACATAATCAAGTACAATAATAACAGAATAAGTTATATATGAAAATTGGATTTCCCTCGTGTTACTGTACAAAACCACAGAAAGACATTATCTTAAGAGTTCACTCTAAAACTGCAGGTGAGCGTGACGCATTAAGTCAGAAAATTCTTCAGTGTTTGACAACTACTTGCAGCAATTTAAGTATCTAACTTGATACTTTTGAAGATGATGGGAAGATGCACAGCTGTGAAATGAAAGAAGAGCAATTAGGTAAGTTAGATCTTGGAATGTAAAGCAAATGATAGAGCAAAAATCTTATTATCAAGTGGGAGGACATTGTACTTCTAATGGCCAAAAGCTGTCCTGAAAACTGTCAGGAAAACTAGAGAGTTGGGCATGAAAGTCTATGTAAGATAACCAACTGCTGTTGAGAGGGGAAAGGTCCTCTTTCCTCAGCTCATCCCTCCTCATTACAGAACAAAAATTTCACACCAGCTCAGAAGTTTATCAGACCCCTCTGCGATCCAGTTAAACTTATTTAAACCAAATACTGGAGAATGCACAAATAAGAGAGTATAATTGTGCAGCAAGGTGGAAGCGCAGAGGGAGCAGAACCTTCCCCTTTTGGCAGAAGGCAAACAGTTGGACCACCTCGGCTGCCAGAGAGGTAGAGAGGAAGAAAGGGTGTTTAGATGCTTACTGAGGAGAGAGCAGGGTAGCAGGGAGAGGAAGGTCAAAGAGAAAACGGTGACAAGATAAATTACTAGCAAAGGAAGTTAATGAAGAAGAAGGGGGGCATTTCCTCCCACAGAATATTAAGACAGTTTCAGGTACGTTAAGGCCACAACCCACTTCACAATGATAGAGACAGGATGACATGAAAAGGATTAAAGGGCTCTTAGGTGAATTCAGCTGGTATAAAACAACAACTAGTTGAAAGATAACTCTGATGGCAGCAGAAAGAAAAAGCTGAAGGAAGTGTTGAATCACAGACGGATCAATGGAGATGGAGGCATTTAAGATAAAACAGTGGCGTCCTTTTAAGATTCCTTAAAGCAGATCACGAAAACTCATGATCTTAAGTTGTAAACGAGCAAACTCCTCCGTAGCAAACCAGGGGTAGAAGACACAAACTAGTGGTCTTCTTGAAGAATACCAGGAATAAGTATGTGCTACACAGAGAATAGCAAAATGAATTTTCCCGTCTGTTCCAACACAGAAAATTTAAGTGTATAGAGGTGACGCAGCATTACGAGGAAAGCTCCGTTCCCTACAGCCTTATTCACTGACCCTTCTCCCGCGTTACACTCTCGCTTGACGCCCGCACGAGAGCAGCGGCCATGGCGCCAGGCCAGGAAGCGGTCCAAAGACGCGTACGCCTCC